AAACACTCTGCTGACTTGATTTTAGTCTTTGTACAATTCATGACGTTTGTGTACTCACTCATCAACAGTGAAGTGCGCAAACGGAAAGCCGATGGTGGTTCATATCCATCCCTGAGAAGTCCAATAGCATATTTCCAGAAGGGATCTTCCAGAGTCGAAAAGGAGAGGCCTGACATGTAGACTGCCCTAGCTAGGGCCTCGTCCAGCTGCTTCCTTTGATTTTCTGTGGTCTTCACCACATATCTGCTTATGCCCATGGCAATAGATCTTGGGGTTGAAGGACTTGAAGTTGAACTGGAGACAGCTCGAGGTGAATTAGTTGAAGATGTAGAGGGACTGCTTGAAGACTGACGAGACAGAGGATCATCCTCATCCGATTCAGAGTCACGTATTAGCCTCCTCCTAGATGTTGACCTTGACACCTGCTATAGTAAAAATGTATACCAATGTAATGTTAGTATCATTACAGCATAAAGACAAAGACATACAGACATAAAGACAAATAACATTACTAACCTTACACATTTGTAGTGCCTCATTATTGATGCAATCAGGACAATTGGTGCAGGTAACCAAATGCTTCGACATCCGCGTAGCATTTGGAAAGTCGGACTTGAAGGGGCAGTAGTGGCATTTTACTGAAATGTTTCCATTGATCCCTTTGATCTTCTGAAAATGCCCCCACACAAAAACTCTCTTCCTTCCCATTGTGAAGTAAAGCCTGAAAATGACAGGGGATGATAACTACAAATTTGTGTTGTGAACCACGGACCACGGTCTAACCTCTACGACACGTGTGGAGCTAACGTCATCATCAAAGTCATATGTGTATGTGACACTTTTGCTATGTACAAACCACAACACACTAATCCTCCGTGATACCAACTAGTTATCGAATTTAACTTATGCCAGTCAAGTGATTTGTGAAATGTTGACAGTAATTACCTGTGAGGGGCAGCTTTTCCAGGAAGAGTCGAGCCTGTCTCCGCACCTGCACTGACTGAACACTGAACTGAACAAATCGCACTTGTCAAGCTCCCCCCCCCCCCAAAAAAAAAACAGCTGACCAAACCGTCGCCCTGTAGTTATTTCGGTTTCGTTCGCGTCATGACGCACGCCGCGCGCAGCTTTGAAAGGTGTTCGCTTGCGCTTTCATCAAAGACCTAGTCAAAATAACTAGAGTGTATAAAAAACCACTTAAAATAGAGAAAAGGCCATAACAAATGTATTTTTCATATTTTTCCGAATTTTTCTGAAAAATATGAAAAATTTCAGGAAAATTTTCTTCGAAAATACTTTTCATGAAAAATACGAACCCTAGTTGAAAGTCCGCCGAAAGCTTATCTCCGCCGTGATCTCGGCCGACATTGGAGGCTGAGACCTTTTTTGTCTCGAGTACCCCGGGTACTCCGTAGGTCTTAAAGTGTTCTTGGGCAACCCGACAGTGCTGCAAACACACCGGGTGTCGAGATTTGAGCCCAGGAAAAAAGGTCTCAGGGTTGAAAGTCGGCCGAAAGCTTATCTCCTCCGTGATCTCGGCCGACTTTGGAGGCTGAGACCTTTTTTGTCTCGAGTACCCCATGTACTCC